GTTCCAGTGCAGCAAACAATTAGGATAGCAAATGGTATGTTTCTCTTTATTGTAAGGAAATTGGCATAGGCACAAAAAAGTATTCTTGCTAAATTTGCACAGGGTTCCGGTGAGACCACACCTGGAATAGTTTATGCGGTTCTCGTCTTCAAATTTAAGGAAGGGCAGGGTTATGATAATAGTAATTTTAGCTTCCCTCATCTGACTGTATTAAACCTGACAACATTCCTGGACTAAGATTATTTTTAAAAAGGAAGAAAAATCAACCAAAGTTGCTGTCATGATCACCTGACCACAGATTGAGGCAGACGTCATGAGAATAATCCTTGTGGAATAAATCAAATCTTCTGCACTGAAATTTTCAATTTCATCTCTCCTCTAGCAATAGAATATTGGCATGGATAGAAGATTGGGCCAGCACATATGGGTCATTTTCTGATTGGCAAAATGAAACAAAGTGATACGCTAGAGAGATCGGTGCCGGAGAATCAATGTTTTACAATTTATATAAGAGAACTTATACTGGATGAAGGGAGTAAAGGAATGGTTGCTAAATTTGTGGCTGTCACAAGATAAATTGTTAGTTGCGAAGAGGGTGAGGAAACTTCAAAGGGATGTAGTCAACATCAACATGTTCAAGAGAAGCCATGTTTGTAAAAGACCATACGACCATAAGACATAGGAGCAGAAATTAGGCCATTCAGCCCATCGAGTCTGCTCCGCCATTCAATCATGGCTGATACGTTTCTCAACCCCATTCTCCCGCTTTTTCCCCATAAACCTTGCTGAATACCTTTATCAAGTATTGGGAGACAACGGATACCTGAACAGCTGGATGCGATGATGCCTGTCACACAAACCATGATGATTTATGACAATCAAGAACCTATCTATCTCCGTCTTAAATATACTCAATGATCTGGCCTCAACAACCTTCTGTAGCAGTGAATTCCATAGATTCACCACTCTCTGGCTGAAGAAGTTTCTCCTTATCTCTGTTCTAAAAGGTCTCCCCTTTACTCTAAGGCTGTGCCGTCAGGTCCTAGTCTTTCCTACTAATGGAAACATTTTCCCAACATCTACTCTGTCCAGGCCATTCAGTATTCTGTAATTTTCAATTAGATCCCTCCTCATCCTACTAAACTCCATTGAGTATAGACTCGGAGTCCTCAAACGTTCCTCATATGTTAAGCTTTTCATTCCTGGGACCATTCTTGTGAACTTCCTCTGAACCCACTCCAGGGCCAGTACATCTTTCCTGAGATATGGGGCTCAAAAGCTTGTTTGAATTGTTTGAGGAGGTTGATTGCCGTATTCTTTGGTTCTTGTTAGCAGTTGGCGTAGGTTTGTGTGCCATTCTGATGCCCAGTGACCGTAGGAGTCTTGTGGTCAGTTCAGATACGTTCTTGATGTATGGTAACGTGGCAAGTGTGTCAGGACGTACTGTATCTTCCTGTTGTTTATGTGACAGGCATCATCGGACCCAGCTATTTGGGTATCCATTGTCTCTAAATACTTGGTGAAGGTATTCTTCTTTGTTTTGGCGAAGTTCTGGTTGCTACAGTGTGTTATGACTCATTTGAACAGTGTTTTTATGCAACTCTGTTTGCGTGTGTTGGGGCCGTTACTGTTGAAATTTAAGACTTGATCTATGTGTGTGGCCTTTCTGTATGCCTTGGTCAGAAATTCCCCGTTGGCCCTGCATTCTACCATCACATCCAGGAATGGGAGCTGTTTGTTCTTTTCTTCCTCTCTAGAACATAGAACATGGAACATTACAGCGCAGTACAGGCCCTTCGGCCCTCGATGTTGCACTGACCTGTGAAACTAATCTGAAGCCCATCTAACCTAAACTATTCCATTATCATCCATATGTTTATCCAATGACCATTTAAATGCCCTTAAAGTGGGCGAGTCTACTATTTTTGCAGGCAGGGCATTCCACGCCCTTACTACTCTCTGAGTAAAGAACCTACCTCTGACATCTGTCCTATATCTATCACCCCTCAATTTAAAGCTATGTCCCCTCGTGCTAGCCATCACCATCCGAGGAAAAAGGCTCCCACTGTCCACCCTATCTAATCCTCTGATCATCTTGTATGTCTCTATCAAGTCACCTCTTAACCTTCTTCTCTCTAACGAAAACAGCCTCAAAACCCTCAGCCTTTCCTCATAAGACCTTCCCTCCATACCAGGCAACATCCTGGTAAATCTCCTCTGCACCCTTTCCAATGCTTCCACATCCTTCCTATAATGCGGTGACCAGAACTGTACGCAATACTCCAAGTGCGGCCGCACCAGAGTTTTGTACAGCTGCAACATGACCTCATGGCTCCGAAACTCAATCCGTCTACCAATAAAACCTAACATACTGTACGCCTTCTTAACAACGCTATCAACCTGGGTGGCAACTTTCAGTGATCTATGCACATGGTGAATTTGATGCCAGTGAAAATGTTGTTTATAAGGTGGTGTGTTTCTTCTAGTTTAGTCCGCTTAATGACGACAAAAGAGTCGTCTGCATATCGGATTCACAGTTTGGGTTGAATCTGTGGAAGGGCCATGCTTTCAAGTCTCTGCATCACTGCTTCAATTTGTAGAAGCATCAAATTCATCAGAGAGGAAGAGAAGAACAAACAGCTCCATTCCTGCATGTGATGGTAGAACGCAGGGCCAACGGGGAATTTCTGACCAAAGTGTACAGAAAGGCCACATACACTGATCAAGTCCTAAATTTCAACAATAACCACCCCAACACCCACAAATGGAGTTGTGTGAAAACACTATTCAAACGAGCCACAACACACTGCAGCAACCCAGAACTGCACGAACACAAAGAAGAATACCTCTATCAAGTATTTAGAGACAAATACCCGAACAGCTGGATGCGATGATGCCTGTCACACAAACAACAGCAGGAAGGCACAGTACGTCCAGACACACTTGTCACGCTATCATACATCAAGAACATATCTGAACTGACCGCAAGACTCCTACGGTCACTGGGTATCAGAGTGGCACACAAACCTACACCAACCCTATGCCAACTGCTAACAAGAACCAAAGACCCCTTACCCACTATGGACTTAATGCTTAATGCCTACCTGCATGCTGGTAGCACTCTTGTCTTGTCTTGTTGTGCCATGTCTATTAGTGTGTTGGCACTTCAGCCAGAGTCTAAAGGCTTCCATTGCAACCATATTGACATGCTCTTTTGTCTAGATACACAGCCGACTGCTTGTCATCTCTCAGTAGGGATTTGCCTATTTTGTTGAGGGCTGGGGAGGGTGCCATCATGCTGTATGAAAAACTGAGATGTCAAACACCCATGACATGTACCAGCTGCTTGCACAGCAAAAATATAACACCTTTATTCAACCAAATGGCCATGTTACAATTTATGGAGGAGTGGCATTGGTTGGAGGTGCAGGCAGCTAATGCTCAGTCCAGTCAAGGGAGACCTGCTGTTGATCAGGGAGTCCCAGTACCATCAGTCACTGACAGGCTCTGCACACAGTCTCAGACATCAGAATATCATTGCAAGTGTTCCTCGATGTATTTTTCGAGGAGCAAACATTTCCAACTGCTTCATCAATGGCTTTCCTCCATTATAAAGCCAGAAGTGAGTGTGAAGCTGATGATTACAAAATGTTCAGCCTCATTCTTGACTCCTCTGATCATGTGCAACCTTGTGATAAAGGACTGCTATGATTCAAGAAAATAGCTCTCTGCCGTCTTCTCTCGGGCAATTCGCCAGGTACATATGCAGCAAAACTTGGATAATATGTAAGATTGTGCGAATAAGTGGCCAGTTAAATTCATACCATTACAAGTGTCAGTCAATGATCATCTTTAACAGAACAGAATCCACATATCTCCCCTAGTCACTCAATGACATTAACAATACTGAATCATCTACTATCAATATCTAAGTGGCTACTATTGACCAGAACCAACTGGACCTGTCATATAAGTACTCTGACTACAAAAACATTTTGTGGTGAATAACTCACCTCTTGACTCTCCAAAGCACATCCAGTATCTACAAATTACAAGTTAGGAGTGTGATGGAATAGTCTCCACTTGCCTGGATGAGTACAACTCCAACAAAACTTAAAACGCTTGATACCGTCCTGGCTAACACAACCACTTGATTAGCATGCAATCCACCACCTCCAGCGTTCAGTCCTTCCACCGCTGATGTACCATCTACAAGTTGCACTGCTGCAGCTCACCTAGCCTAGCCAGAAACCCCCACATCCTGTGACCAAAAAAAAATGCTGCAGATGACTCTAAATAAAGAACACTTTAAATAATATTTAAACTTAAGAGCCTTTTCACAATGTCCATTAAGTATCACAAAGTGTACATACATTGCGGATACAATATTGTGGCCACCATTCAAGCATCAAAATAAAGTGACATGAAGCATGTTGCTTTTGTGGCTCCCTCTGTCAAACTAATTGTTATATGAATATATATCCCAGAGTGCAACTTTCACTGTTGCACTGCAGTCGTGTGCTGAGTAACGTGTCTCACTCTATTAGCTCACCAGTCGTGTGGACAGCAGAAGGAAATACGCTCGATGGAGCTCCACCATTTTGAGGCTGAGGTGTGATTATTTTGAGCATTCAGCACAAAAAGATTTAACACCTTCATTGTTGCTGTTTGGAAAATGCAGATATCAAACTTTCTAACTAGTGAACAAAAAAGCAGAAATTGCTGGCAAATCCTTCTTCAGAACCTTTCTCACCAGTGAACCCTGACAAAAGCTGGGATTCTCCCAGCAGACTTCCATATCATTATTCACTCTGTTGTGTAATAGCTATGTCTCAGAGATCAAGACGCTTGACCTGAGAGTTTGTGTTATTGTAATTTTAAAAAAGATACATCTTGATGTGGTAAACTGAATGTGGAAGTAAGATAATAGATTGCATCCTGTGAGATTACTGACTGTCACAGATGTTTGCACCAGTCAGAACATTTCAGTTGCACACGAAGACGGCAACAAGCAAAGGGTCAAGTTGCCACAATGTTGAGAGGGCTGATATATTTTGTTGCTCTGCTACACAGCTGTGTTAACATCCACGGTAAGCATATCTTGAGATTTATAAGAATAGTGCAGCTAGATTGGGATGAATAAAAAGGAAAGTAGCTGAGTGACAGTAAACACTGTCCACTGGATTAGTATCAGATGATTGGAGGGTGGCAAATATTATTCCCTTGTTCAAGAAAGGGAATTGGGATAATCCTGGGAATTACAGACCAGTGAGTCTTGCTTCTGTGGTGGTGGGGGAGAGGATTCTGAGAGATTGAATTTATAATTATTTGGAAAAGCACAGTTTGATTAGAAATAGTCAACATGGCTTTGTGAGGGGCAGGTCATGCCTCACAAGCCTTGTTGAATTCTTTGAGGATGTGACAAAACACATGGATGAAGGTTGAGCAGTGTATGTGGTGTATATGGGTTTTAGCAAGGCATTTGAAAAAAAAAGGAGGCACGGGATTCAGGGAAATTTGGCTCAGAGATAGTAGGAACTGCAGATGCTGGAAAATCTGAGATTCTGTACACCTACACCTTGTTATATCAGGGAAATTTGGCTGTCTGGATACAAAATTGGCTGTCCAATAAAAGACAGAGGGTGGTAGTCGATGGAAAGGATTCAGCCTGGAGCTCGGTGCCCAGTGGTGTTCCACAGGGATCTGTTCTGGGGCCCCTGCTCTTTGTGATCTTTATAAATGACTTGTATGAGGAAGTGGAAGGGTGGGTTAATAAGTTTGCTGATGACATGAAGGTTGGTGGAGTTGTGGACAGCGTGAGGGCTGTTGTAGGTTGCAGCGGGACATTGGCAGGATGCAGAGCTGGGCAAAGAAGTGGCAGATGGAATTCAACCCGGAAAAGTGTGAAGTGATTCATTTTGGAAGGTCGAATTTGAATGCGGAATACAGGGTTAATGGCAGGATTCTTGGCAGTGTGGAGGAACAGACGGACCTTGGGGTCCATGTCCATAAATCCTTCAAAGTTGCCACCCAAGTTGATGGGGTTGTTAAGAAGGTGTATGGTATATTGGCTTTCATTGGCAGGGGGATTGAGTTTAAGAGCCATGAGGTTATGCTGCAGCTCTATAAAACCCTGGTTAGACCACACTTGGAATATTGTGTTCAGTTCTGGTCGCCTCATTATAGGAAAGATGTGGAAGCTTTAGAGAGGGTGCAGAGGAGATTTACCAGGATGCTGCCTGGGCTGGAGGGCAGGTCTTATGAGGAAAGATTGAGGGAGCTAGGACTTTTTTCATTGGAGCGAAAAAGGATGAGAGGTGACTTGATAGAGGTGTACAGGATGATGAGAGGCATAGATAGAGTGGATAGCCAGAGACTTTTTCCCAGGACGGAAATGACTATTATGAGGGGGCATAATTTTAAGGTGATTGGAGGAAGGTATAGGGGAGATGTCAGAGGTAGGTTCTTTAAACAGAGAGTGGTGGGTGCGTGGAATGCACTGCCGGCGGTAGTAGTGGAGTCAGATATATTAGGGACATTTAAGCGACTCTTGGATAGGCACATGGATGATAATAAATGTAGGGTATGCAGGGTAGTTTGATCTTAGAGTTGGATAATAGGTTGGCACAACATCATGGGCCAAAGGGCCTGTACTGTGCTGTATTGTTCCATGTTCTATGTTCTAGAGGCTAGTGATTAATGGACGTCTTTCTGACTGGAGGAGGATTTGTCGTGGATTATCCCAGAGAAAGGTATTGGTACTCCTGTCATTCCTGAGATATATTAATAATATAGATCTTGGCATATAGGGCAACATTTAAAAAATTGAGGATGACTCAAAACTTAGAAACAATATGAACTGTGATGGGCACAGAACTTCAAAAAGATATGGCAAACTTGGTGGAAAAGGTGAACAAGTTGCGGGTGTAGTTCAAGGCAAAGAAGCTAAGTGGTTTACTTTGGTAGGTACAATGAAGAGAGAGAGTCTAAAAGTTGGATTAAATGACTTTGGAACTCTGTTTTAGAAATAGAGAAGAAACAAAGGTGGGTAATTGAATATATTTAAGGCAGAAGTGTATAGACTCACATATAACAAAACAAAGAACTGCGGATGCTGGAGGTCTGAAAGAAGCAAAAATAGAAGTAACTGGAGAATATCAGGAAGTCTGGCAGTATCTGTGGATTTAAACAGTTAATGTTTTGAGTCAGAACCCCTTCTTCTGAGGAAGGATCACTGGACTCGAAACTTTAACTTTGTTTTCTCTCCACGAATGCTGCTAGACTTGCTGATGTTCTCCAGCAATTCTATTTTTTTTGTACATTGATTCTTGTTAGGCCAGGAAATCAAAAGTTATCAAGGATAGATGACAATGTGGAATACGGAACACAAGGACATCAGCCACAATCTTTTTGAACAGTGGAGCAGACTTGAAGGGCAAAATGCCCTACGTCTGTTCCTAATTCATATATTTGGAAATAAAACATACAATTCCAAAAGTGGATCGGGGCAGAAATAATTGAGGGTGACAGGACATCCTGAGAGCAGCTAATAAAGCATGCAGTATCTTTGGCTTTATTAATGAGGGCTCGGGGCTCATGTTAAACTTTGATAAAATGTTTTGTTTGTCCTCAACTAGAATATTGTGCGCAGTTGTGTGTGTCACATTTTGGGAAAGATAGAGTAAGTGCAGAAAATGTTCATGCGAATTGTTCTTGGGTGAGGAACTTTATTCATACAGACAGAGTCAATAAATGTGGAGCTGGAAAAGCACAGCAGGTCAGACAGCATTCGAGGAGCAGGAAATTCAACGTTTTGGGTGGAAACCCTTCGTCAGGACTGACGAAGGGCTTCAGCCCGAAACATTGACTTTCCTGCTCTTCCGATACTCTCTGATGTGCTGTGCTCTTCCAGCTCCACATTTATTGACTCTATCTTCCAGCACCTGCAGTCCTCACTGTCTCTAAGTTACTGAAATTCAAATAGACAGAATGGGGAAGTTGAAATTGCTTTCCTTGATGAAGTAAAGGTTGAGAGGAAATGTTATAGTTATTCAAAATCATAATGGACTGGAACAAATGAGAGAATATAGGTTTGAGTAATTGGCATAAAAGAAATGCAGTGGTCACATGAGGAGGAACTTCTTCATGTGATTAAGATCTGAAATGCACTGCCTGGGATTGTGATGGAAGCACGTACAATCGAGACTTTCAAGCGGAAGTGGGATTTTTAACCAAAAAGCAAGTGAAGTTCCATGGGGAGAAGGCGGGGAAAGGAGGAGAATGGCACTGATTGAATCATTGATTTAGAGATCTGACACAGCTATGATGGATAAATGCCCTCCTCCTGTGCTGTACCCATTCTGAATCCATTTCAGAGTAAAGACTGCACCACATCAGCGAATGATCTTACTGCTTAATTACAACTCAAGGAGACTGAAAATCAATTCCATTCTTATTAAAAATTGCTGAGGAAGCCAGTTGAAATCTTTCAATCAATTTTGTTGTTTGGACAGAAAGTATTTTTACTTTTCTGTTTTCATTTCTGTTTTTATTATTCTGTTTTGTGAGTTAATTGTGTTGCCCTGAAATGTTTCTGTTTCTTGCAGATGGCCCCATTAGGATATACTTTTCAGGGGGAACAAAAGGTATTGTTCTTAATGGATCAGATATTCCTGCCCGGGGCACCATTTTATGGGAATGGACCCCTCACCATCAACAATTGACCACAAAGACATTGGTCAGAATGAAGGCCAAAGGCCTAGAATGGAAAACCGAGCAAGTTTATCAAGTTATGCAAAACAGTAAAACCAAATTCCACCTGAGAAATCACTCTCTTGATCTTACTATTGAAAATGTGCTTGAAGCAGCTGGATTATTTACCTGTCGACAGACAGAACCTGAGGAGAGAATACTGAAACAGTATGAAATATTTGCTATCAAAGGTGAGTAGGAAAATGTTTAAGAATTGGACAAGATAGACTCCATTCTTAACGATACAATTATACTTTTTCCATAGCTTGTGGAGAAGAAACCCACTGCAACTGTAAACACTTATATTAAATACTGCCCTAAAATCTACTTTGTGATGATAAGGAAAGCTAAGCATTTCTATCAGGTTCCTTTTGTCATTCTATGGCTGAAAGCTGTTTTTTGCAGATACACAGTCACAGGAATATCACCAATCTGAGTGTTGGGGCTCAGTTAGCTCAGTTGGCTAGAAGCTGGTTTGCAATGCATCTGGAAACTGTGGACCAACTCCCTTTGGTGTGTTGTCAATACCTAGCTCTCCCTTAAACAAAAGCAAAATACTATGGATGCTGGAAGTCTGAAAAAAAGACACAAAGTGCCGGTGAAATTCAGCAGGTCTGCCTACATCTGCAGAGAGAAAAACAGAGTTAATGTTTTAAGTCTGATACGAATTTGCTTCAGAACTGAAAGAGGCTGAATAATGGTGGCTTTTATGCAAGGTGACTGGTGGGAGGTGGGGGGTGGGAGTGTTGGTTGCGGGGGGAAGAGTGTGATGGACCTTGACCTCACTCCAGCTGCCTCTTCCTCACAAGGAGACAAGGCAGTGCCAGTGGGCACTCAGCCGGAGGAGGTACCACATTCTTGGCCCCACAGAAGTCTCTCCATGTGCTCCAGGGTGGCTAGGCCTTACACAACTGCTCTTAACCCTGTGACAGTTCAAGCTGAGCCCGGTGCATTTACCTCTGGTGAGGACACACCGAGTGTGCGTGCACCTTCTGGATGCTAATGCCACCTGCAAGTAAGGCCCCATCATAGCTCCAAGTCCAACAGGTTCTACTCCAATGCAACCTGGTCCAATCTGTGCACTGGGTGCCAGTCCCTGTGCCCAAAGTGTTCTTGTAGCAACCTATAAATGAGGTAGAGCACCCCAAGGTCCAGTGTTATGGCACAGAAATGTACAGAGATAGCAAGAACTACAGATACTGGAGCCAGAGACAACACAGTATGGAGCTGGAGGAATACAACAGGGCAGGCAGCGTCAGAGGAGCAGGAAAGTTGATGTTTTGGGTGAGCACAAGTGCATCATCATGTGCCAGGATGGCATGGAGAGACTGGTCCATGTTGGATGCATGGATGTGGGGTATATGCATCTGCTGCTGGAGCTTGCGCTGAAATGTCGGTGCCAAGTGTCCAAGATGGCAATCAGAAGAGGAAACCGAAGGCTGAAGTGGCCTTGACTTTTCCTTCAGGAATTTCTGGTGTCTAGTGTAGCTCTATGACTCTAGTTTCCAACTGTTCTGTGGCACAATTGTAAAATTCAGTGAGAAAGAGGGTGATAGCAAACAATAATTTCAATTCAATTCAATTTCCAGAATAATAATCTGGAGCTGAAATAATTCTTCAGAATGCTTCAGTTCCCAAGCAGAGTCATACTGGAGTCAAAACATGAATTCTGTTTCTCTCTCCGCAGTTGCTGCCAGGCCTGCTGGTTTTCTCAAACATTCCCTGTGTATGTATGAAGGCTGATTTTATGGATCCATGCTATTTGGGGCAGGTTCATATAGCAGGAATTCATATGAGGATGTCCTATGTGATGGTTAATAAGGTTCCATCAATAATGATTCAAAAATCCCATGGTTTTACTGACCTGCGTAATCAAGTTCAAGGAAGAATTAGGAAGATAGTTGACAGAGTGTTTGAGTAGCATGTGGGACTGGCCAAATTTGGAGTCCTTCTGAGGCCTTATTTTTCTTTATCATTGCTAGGTATTCATTATTTCATCCGAACGGATGAGATTAGCATAACAAGGAAGAAACTGAATTTTAACCTCACTTGTCACTGTGATTCAACTGTGATTGCACCAGTTGCTTTTTGTTACATTATTCCCTTTCTCATTTTTCTTTTAACACAGTTGACCGAGATCCTCGCTATCCATTTCTAGGCAGTGATGTCTCCCTCAGCTGTACCATTTCCAGACTTGCTGATACAGTCACTCTCCAATTGAAATCCAGAGCCCCATCTCAGCAGAACAGGATGAACAACACCAATCAGATCCAACTGAATAACACCGTCTATCTGATATTAAAAGATAGTCAAGTAGATGATGCTGAACAATATGCATGTGAAATACAAGATAATGGAAGAACTGTTCATTCTGTTCCAATTGAATTGACCTTCAGCACCTGTAAGTACAAGGTCTACTTTGCAGTAAGTGTTAATCACTAAAGTATCATTGTTTCTGAAGAGTATCTTTGATATGCTGTGCCACAATGTAATCTACATACCAAATCCCACAGACAAACATGTTTAGGCCTCCCTGCATCTCCATCCTTGCGTCTATGTAATGTGAAGACCTCTCCGAGCACTACAAACTCCCTATTCCTGGAAGACTGGAAAAGCTTGTTTCCTGATTGTTGTGTTTAGATCAGTAAATGAACCATACTTATGCACCAATCTTGAATCAGCTATCATGCTTGTGAAGTTTGAATGAGCTGAAAAATGTTCCATCTTACCATTTGTAGGAGAATAGAACTATCAGGAGGAAGTTACTGCTACTGCTGTGATGGTGATCAAAGATCAGGTGCTAGCTATGTTTCTGGAGTTGACGCGAGGTCGAGTGTTGGTGTTGGTAATGGCGTTTGTTCTGATGTTTATGTTAATTCAGATTTTGGTGTTGCTACTGTCGTTTGCTGTGAAATAATGCTGGTTTAGGTGTTGGTGCTGTTTCTGGAGCTGGCGCTGGTATTGGTTTGAGTGTTCTCTTTGATGCTAGTTCTTGTGTTTATTCTTTTGTGTGTGTTCTGGCTCTGGTATTGGTTTTGATTCTGGTGCTGGCTCTGTTGGTGACTTTGTTACAAATGCTGATGATATTGCTGGTTCCGATGCTGTTGCTGATGGTGTTTCGATCATGTTGTTTGTGGTGTTTATGTGCAGTTTTATGGTATTAGTTTTGTTGTCAGTATTGGCTTTGGCGCTGGTGGTGATAGTAATTTTGGATTAGGTCCTGCTTTGAAAGAGGGAGAGCAGCAGGTCAATGGGAACAAAAAGGTAAGTGAGATGCAATGTAATTGAAAACATTGTTTTCACAATAATGCCATTGCTGACAGTGTATTTTGAGTGTCTGCTGCTACACATCCTTGTGCTTGTTCTAAGTTTGATTTGTTTGATTTGTTGTTCACCATCGGGAATCTTATGGAATTCTAAATTTCATGTACTTCATTGTGTTAGGCGATGTAATAGACCTGAAATTAATGCTATTATTTAATGTGGATAGAGATCAAAGCTCAAATCTATTGTAGAAAGGATGCTCTCTCTCTCTTTCTCTCTCTTTCTTGCTCCTCTCCCCTCTCTTGTCAACTGCACTTATCACTTCTCAATTGTACTAAATGCTTCATCAGATGGTCCCACCTAAGTGAACATTTGGAATATTTTAAAGCAATTTTCTTTTATACTGGTAATGACAACTGATGGTTGCCACCCTCTTTATCTATGTTTCTATCATTCTTTTTCCATCCCTCTGTTTCAGCTGATTTTGGTAGGCGGTATACAAGTTATTGGCCAATCTTTGAAAATAATTCACTGAACCTGAACTGCAGATGTAAGTCGAAGTACAATGAGTCCATGTGGATTTTGGAAATATACAATCATATAAGAATCAACATCATCTCTACTGATAATAAGGACAAGGGGAACGCAAGCATCTCAAAGATTCAGAATCGAGTCATCCTGAAACAGTTTGATGGGATGAGCTTCCCTCTACAGATTTTTCCTGTGCAGTTTGAAGATGCAGGAACTTACACATGTACCATGGACACAATGGAAGCAGTGAAAATTAAACTGATCACCAGCCAAGGTATGTCCAAGAATTTCACTGCAGCAGGGTTAAAGTAAATCACAAACTCCATCAATTTCCTGTGGTACCTCGGGTGGGACACAACAGAATAAACCCTGTTACAATAGGTGTACATTTCTGCTGTTTCTGGAGGGACACTCCAGGCATCCTGTGTGGTTATAGCAGGAAAAGAAATCTTGCATTTATAAATGATAATTTCCCATAACCGCCAAATATCTCTCTGCTTTACAGCAAATGCAGTTCATTTTGAAGTCTGATCACAATGCTGGCTAGTACTAAAGTTTAATTGACATGTGGTAGCTGCATGATCAAAAGAAATAAAAATAGTTGTTGCAATTGACTGAAAATAGGTTAAAAAGAGGGAGCCAATTCCTTTCACCTGGTCATGGCAACATGAACTGAGTTGAAATTCTTTAAACTCTGTCAAATGTCAGCATTGATAGCTGCTGCCCTCATCATATGTCTCCAATATATGAAATTAGTCTCTAAACTAATTGTACACAACTGCTGAAGGGTGCAATGCTGAGAATGGATGAAAGGCCTAAGGCTTTAAAATTATGAAAAATTCTTTGAATTAGTTTAGTACAAAAAATCGAGATTGTAAGGCTAAACCATTGTGAAATTCTTCTTACTGAAAATACAATTTCTTTTTGTTCCAGTGACAGTTGTTCCCTCTTGCCCTCTGACTGTTGGAGACAATGTTGAACTTAAATGTTCTGTTTCTCATGTCTGTAATGCAACAAGGCTTGCTTGGATGGATAACGACAGGAAAGTTCTTGTTAAAGAAAAACATTTCAATCTCTCGGGTGAAGCAAACAACAGCCTGTCATTGCTTATTCCAAAGATTGGACAACATAACAGAAGCTGGACCTGCCTTGTATTTAATGGGACCATGTTAAAATTTCATATCACACACAAACTTGCAATTAATGGTAAGAGTTTTTGTTTATTTGAACAGACACAACAGTTTTGCTCTTAAAATTAACAATGCATGATTCATTTAACTTCATGCATTTCATGCCGTTCAGCAATATGTCTCACACTTCACTTAAGGGCCAACTGCAACCCTACTTATTTTTAATCATGTGAATTGGATCCAGTACATTTTGGCCCCAGCATTTCCATTCTTTGAACTTTTATCAATGTTTCACTTTCTGCTGCATTCATTTGCAGTATTTTGCAATGAGCTCTTTATTTGTTCACTCATGGGAAGAGGCATTGCTGGCCAGGCCAGCATTTATTACCCATCCCTAATTGCCCAGAGGGCAGTTATGAATCAACCACTTTGTTGCGGGTCTGGAGTCACATTTAGGCCAGACCAGGTAAGGATGGCAGTTTCCTTTCCTTTCATGAACCAGATGGGTTTTTCCAACAACCAGCAATCATTAGACTGTTAATTCCAGATATTTATTGAATTCAAATTTCACTATCTGCCATGGTGGGATTTGAACCCAGGTCCCCAGAACATTACCTGGATGTCTGGACTAACAGTCCAGCAAAAGTACCACTAGGCCATTGTCTACCCAGCTCAGCTTTATAAACAGAAGGATGCCATTGAGAAAGGCCTTTGAACCACTAATTTGCTGGAGTGCAGGCTTTTCTGAACCATCTAATACGTTATTAACTCAAAGCTCTTCTCCTGCCTGTGACATTTTGCATGGTCTTGCAAATGTGCCATTTATAACAGCCGTGTCTATGTTAAATCAAACCGCTTAATGCTGTGGACTACAGTCGTAGCAGAATTTGACCACATGCGGTTTCAAATGGACAATCATATACGCTTTACAAAGAGCAAAGCGTGCTGGAGACACTCAGCAGGTCTGGCAGCATCTGTGCAGAGAAACCCAATGTTAACTTGTCAAGACGTTCTGAGTTGCTGGTCACTTCCATTTTTGTTTCAGATCTTGGGCAGCCGCAGTTCTTCGTTTTATTTCTATGTATGCCTTAGCGTTGTGGTAGCATTGGGAATGTTCGCTTCTGAGTCAGAAGAGTCAAGAGTTTTGAGACATACTACGTGCATTTGACCATGTAATGTAGAGTGATATTTCTGCGCGTTGCTGTGTGAGTGCTGACTATCAGAGTCGTCAGAAATGAAGCCAAGACCTCTCAGATACTGTGAAAGATGCCTTAATACCCTTTGAAGAAAAAAGGAACTTTCCCTGCTGTCATTGCCAATATTTATTCCTTAGCCAATAGATTAAATCACATTATCTTCATTATTCATTGGACAGAATGTATCAAAAACAAAATGTGTAACCTGTCGTAAAGAATTTTTCAAACTTATCATCTTTAATTTAGAAAGATACTTAATTATTCGTGTCATGAACGATAATGTAAATCAAAGTGGTGGGATAAGGGTGGTCTCTTTACTTTCAAAGCTCCTCTTCACCATACCTTGCTATCAATAACATAAAGCACAATGATGAAAGCAACTTACACTCAGTGCATTAACCCTTTTTTAACCCACCAAACAACAGCATATACTCACAACACCAGTTGCTTGGTATGTTGCTGTACAAGAACCTGTTACTGATTGGCACTGCATCAATGAATCCTCCTTCATGTCTTCCCGTTATTGACCAGATCACATTTCCAATCACAGCCAGTACGTCCTTGAAGGCTGCACTTTTTTTGCACCTCCTTGAACCATGTCCTTGGCATATACAGCAATACCTCAAATCAAGGTCATTCAATTAGGTTATTAAACACACCATGTGATCATACCCTGCCCTCAGTAGAGGGCTGCCGCTAGTTAAATGCTAAAATAATTGTGATCCACTCAGGTGAGATGACCACTGTTCACATCCCTGGATGGCTATTAGCTAGTCAGTTTCTACAGATGTGTCTGTATGTGTGAGATACCACTTTCATGATATGTCTTGACATTTTTTTTTATTTATTCATGGGATGAGGGCATTGTTGGCTAGGCAGCATTTATTGCTCATCCCTAATTGCCCAGAAGGCAGTTAAGAGTCTGGAGTCACATGTAGGCCAGACCAGGTAAGGATGGCAGTTTCCTTCCCTAAAGGGCATTAATGAAGCAGATGAGTTTTTCCAACAATTGACAATGGATTCACGGTTATCATTACATTTTTAATTCCAGATATTTTATCGAATTTAAATTCCACCATCCACTGTGGCAGATTTCGAACCTGGGCCCCTAGAGTGAGTGTTTGTGTGTGTCTGTGTGTGTGTCTGTGTGCGTCCGTGTCCAGTGACCCTTCCTCAGAAAGCTCGGAGAAAGTTGGTTTTGGCTGTATCTCCACCTACCATTTACTCCTTACCCCCACCCCCCACCTTATCTTCTGCATAAAAAACAATTTTCCCCTAGCTACCATCAGTTCCGAGGAAGGGTCACTGGTCCTGAAACGTTAACCCTGATTTCTCTCCACCGATGCTGCCAGTTCTGCTGATTTTTTCCAGCAATGTCTGTTTTTGTTAATTCTGTCCTAGCTCCTATGTATTCAATCAGGACCTTCTACTTCTGCACAGCTTCATTTTCATATCACCCAGTTAGAAGTTCTGGGCGTTGACCTATCTCACAGTTGCTTATCTTTTATCTTTTATCTTGCAAATGCAAGACACATTAGAGAGCAGTGAAATAAAAAAATATTTTGCATCATGCAATGTACAGAAAGCAAAATGCCTTACAACAATCTAACACCACGGAAATAACAGAAAAGTACAGGCTGATTAGCCTAACCTCCGTCATGAATAAGATTTTGGAGTCCGTTGTAAAGGATGAGATTGCTGAATATTTGGAAGTATATAGTAAAATAGGGCAAAGTCAGCATGGTTTCATCAAGAGAAGGTCATGCCTGGCAAATGTACAGGAATTCTTTGAGGAAGTAATGAGCAGGGTAGACCAAGGAGAGCCAATGGATGTTATCTACCTGGACTTCAAAAAGGCCTTTGATAAGGTGCCACACATGAGGCTGCTGAGTAAGATAAGGGCCCATGGTGTTAGAGGCAAGGTCCTAGCATGGATAGAAGATTAGCTGTCTGGCAGAAAGCAGAGAGTAGGGATAAAGGGGTCTTTCTCAGGATGGCAGCTGGTGACAAGTGGTATTCCGCAAGGGTCAGTGCTGGGACCACAGCTTTTCATTTTGTACATTAATGACCTAGATGAAGGAACTGTGGGCATTCTGGCTAAGTTTGCAGATGATACAAAGATAGGTAGAGGGACAGGTAGTATTGAGGAGGTGGGGAGGCTGCAGAAAGAATTGGACAGGTTAGGAGAGTGGGGAAAGAAGTGGCAGATGGAGTACAACGTGGGAAAGTGTGAGGTCATGCACTTTGGTAAGAAAAATAAAAACATGGACTATTTTCTAAATGGCGAGAAAATTCAGAAGTCTGAAGTGCAAAGAGACTTGGGATTTCTAGTCCAGGATTCTTTCAAGGTAAACTTGCAGGTTGAGTCAGTAGTCAGGAAGGCAAATGCAATGTTGGCATTTATTTTGAAAGGACTTGAATATAAAAGCAGGGATGTACTACTGAGGATTTATAAGGCTCTGGTCAGGCCACATTTGGAGTGTTGTGTGCAGTTTTGGGCCCCATATCTCACGAAGGATGTACTGGCCCTGGAGTGGGTTCAGAGGACGTTCATGAGAATGGTCCCAGGAATGGAAAGCTTAACATATGAGGAATGTTTGAGAACTCTGGGACTATACTCATTGGAGTTTAGACGGATGAGGGGTGATCTAATTGAAACTTTCAGAATACTGAATGGCCTGGACAAAGTGGATGTTGGGAAGATGCTTCCATTAGTAGAAGAGTCTAGGACCCGAGGGCACAGCCTTAGAGAAAAGGGAAGACCTTTTAGAATGGAAATAAGGAGAAACTTTTTCAGCCAGAGAGTGGTGAATCTATGGAATTCACTGCCGCAGAAGGCTGTGGAGGCCAGGTCATTGAGTACATTTAAGACTGAGATAGATAGGTTCTTGATTATTAAGAGGATCAAGGGTTATGGGGAGAAAGCAGGAGAATGGGTTTGAGGAACTTATCAGCCATGATTGAATGACGGAGCAGACTCGGTGGACCGAATGGCCTAATTTCTGCTCCTATGTCCTATGGTCTTATGGTCTTATGGAAATAACAAAATACCTTACAATAGTCACCACCGTCAATATATCTGCTCTGCAATGACGTAAACAACTTGCATTAGAGTATATTTACACTACAGTTGCAACATTAATGTAAGGACACTTCAAAAATAACTTTTATAGGAGGTGGTCACCACTGGGAAGGCTAACAGTTATTGCCCAGAACACTTGCCCTTGGAGAGGTGGTGATGATAAATATAAAGTCACCATAATCCCACTCACTCATTAGAGAGAAATGACTGGTAGTGGTTTAACCTGACAGTAACCACACCCCAGATGAGGGCCAATGTTGAGAAAGTAGGACCTCCATGGTAACCTCAGACAGTACAAAGATTGAACTTGCACTGTTGGCCATACACTGCATGGCAAGCTAGCTATCCAGCCAACTGAGCTAGCCAGCTCCAGTGATGCTGAGCTGTCTTCTTGAACCATTGCAGTTATGGGGTAAATGTACTTCTGCAGTGTTGTTATAGGGAGAGTTCCAGGACTTTGACCCCAGCGGCAATGAGAGACAGATGATTATGATGCCCAGTCACATTAGTTATAATTTCAAACATTACTTACATGTATGGTATTCCTAGGCTTATGCTGCCCTTGTCCTTCTCAGGGTGAAGGTTGCACATTCGGAAGCTGCATTTAAGGAGGCTTAGTAGATTTCTGCAGTGCATCTTATAAATGCACACTCTGCAGCTACTGCTGGTAGGGAGTCTGAAGTTTTAAGGGCATGGATGGGTTGCCAGTCAAAAGACTCAAAAGACTGCTTTGGCTTGGAATGTGTTAAACCTTTAGAGTGTTGTAGGTGCACTGACCCAGATAAGTGGTATGTTTCT